AGCATGGGACTCTCTTTCGGTCATGCTGGTGGGAGCTGAGTAGCAGGAGGAGGTGAGAAGGGAGTAAGACACTGCCCCTGCCTGGCTGTGCGTACTTACACGCTCCAGTGTGATGGCTGGGCAGAACTGCCCCCAGCTAACTGCCACACTAGACACTCAGGGGCGTGCCACAGCAAAAGCGTAAGTTTACCAAGCATTCCTCGTGTGCCCAGCACCGACCTCGGTGCTTATTCATTCTTCTAGAGATATTACTGCTCCCATTTTACAGATGAAGTAATTAGAGCTCAGAGAGGCCAAGTAACATGCCCAAGGTCGGCAGCTAGTAATCAGCAGAGCTGGGATGCAAACCCCCGCCTGTCCCAGGCCAGAGCCTGCACTCTTTCCACCATGGCCTGTCCCCTTAGTAATGGAATGGTGAGCAATGTGTCCAGGGAGCAGAGGGAAGGGAGAGTTTGATGCTGACTGGGTCCAGGAAGAGGGTGCTCTCACACTAATTCATATAAAAAATGACATTTGAGCTGGGCTTGAAGGACTCCAAAGGCAGCAGCAGGAGGAAGGAGGGCAATCCAGGTGGAGGAAACAGTTCCAGGCAGAAGCCATGAAGGGGGAAAGTGTAGGGAGTGCCAAACAAGAGAGCTGGACAGTGACCCCAAGGATGGCCACGCCCCCTCCAACTGCTCATTACCCTGCAAGTGAGCATGCCCCCACGTGCTGTGCTGTCCCCAAGCCTCCTGCTCCCAGCCACTCACCTTTCCCTAGTCACTGACCTACAGGGCAGCCACAGAGAGGACCAATGAGGGCCCGCCACCTCTGCCCCTTGCCTAGGTCAGCCAGGGACTCAAACCATCCCATCCCCCAAACAGCTCCCAGACCCCCAGGGAGACTGGCATGAAGCCACCCCTTACCAAGGACACTACCCAGCCCCTGATATCTAGATTAATCACCACCTAATCCCTTCTCTGCCTGACTTCCCCTGCAGGTCAGCAGTAAAATCTGAAACCTCCCTACCCAGCCTCCCTGGGATGGGGAGGCCCAGCCTGGGGCAAAGCCTCCATGGGACTGGAGCCTCTGCCCCACTACCACGGCAGAAGACACCTGCCACCCGCCCCCTCCACCACTTTCTCAGCAATGGAAAACTGCTGTGGAGACTCCAGACCTTAAGACTGGACCCAAACAGCTCCAGCTCCAAGAACAGCCAACCTTCCCTCTCTCCCCAAGGGCAGCAGGGGAGATCCAGCTGGTGGGAGAGGGTCCGGCTCTGGAACTGTTGCCCCCTCCTCTGCCCAGGCGCCAAGGCAAAGCTAGGCTTACCTCCTTGCCTTCTGAAGAGCATCAGCCCAAGTCCCCAGCCCGGGAGGGGCCTGGGTTGCAGGACGGGGTGGGGGGCTGGTCTCAACTCAAACTAGCCCCAACCCAGTCAGTCACCGGTAGGATCCTAGGCTTTGCACTTGAAGCAGCTCCTTTCCACATCATCTGGTCCAACCTCCTCAATTCCTTTCAAGGAGCGAACAGAGAAGGACCGGTTTTGCCCAAGGTCGCAGAGAGACTTGGTGCCAGAGCAGGAGCCATCCAAGTCTCCTAAGAAGCCCTCCGGCCCTTTCCATCGTGCCACTGCCCCTGCAAGAGGAAAACCTCCCGGAAATGGGAGGAAACCTAGGGCCCTGCCCCTGCCCCCAGAGCCCGGCTGCCAGTCCCGAGAATGAACGTTGCCTTTGTGCCCTCAGCTGCCTCCGTGGGCTTCCAAGCAACCACTTCTTCCCAGGTGGCAGCGCCAAGGGCTCGCTCGCAGCTGGGGCCGGGACGGCCAAACTTCCCCGCGGTCCCCTCGGCGGACGGAGGGGAGCGAGGGAGGGGGCAGCCGCGGACCGCTCGGTGCGGTGGCTGCCGCTCCTTCCGCCGCCCGCCGCGGACCCGCACTCGCCCCCCACCCAGCCCCTTTCCAGCCCGCTGCCGCCAGAGGATGGGGGCCATCGCCCGGGGCGGGGCCGGGCCGGGGTTAGGACTCACCTTGGCCAGTGCCTCCTTCTGCCTGGGGCTCAGATCGCCGACTCTGCCGCTCATCGTGGCCCAGGTTCCGGGCGCGGCGGTTGCGGCAGCAGACTCGTTCTCCACCGCGGGAGTAAAGTCCCAGCCTTTTGCCGGGGCCGCGGTTGGCAGCCAAGCCCCGCCTCTTAAAGGATCCCAAGGGGCGGAGTAGGGAGAGATGGGCTGGGCGCAGGAGCGTCTGACGCGGGTACCCTCCGCCCTCCTGAAGCGGAGACCTGAGCAGGAGGCGAAGCAGGAGTGCCCACCCGGGCCGAGGCCGGTAGACATGAGAAGGACAGGAAGTCTGGGTTTCAGTCCCCAATTTATCCTTAGCTCACACTGTGACCTTGGAGGAGACACCTGAACTCTCTAGGCCTTAGTGTCCCCAACTAGGTGCTATCTAATGAACTCTTCTAAGATCAGGTCCCCACGGTGCAGGACCTCTCCCTCCAATACGGGAGGAAGCTTGACTGATGCCTCTGTAGGGGACCAGGTCCCCTAAGTCTAGCCATCGCCCTGCCTCCAGGACAGTGGCCTTGGCCTTTTCCCTCTGGGGCCCCTGCCCTCCTCCTGTCCTGCCATGGATTTTGGACCACTGCTGCAAACCCAGCTTGGGGCCTTTCAGTGTTAACAGCTTTTCCCCTCCCCCTTCGGGGCAGGCAGGCTGAGGCGGGGGTAAGGAAGCCCAGACCCCATCTCCCCACCCAGAGCCCTGTCCTCTGCTTCTGACCTTCACAGCTCTCTGAGAGGCTCATAAGGTGCTGGCACCCTCAGCTGGCATGGAGGATTGCTTCCTCTCTGGGAATCAGAAGACCTGGGTTTGAATCCTAAATCTTCCCCTTGTTTTTATGAGACTTCAGGGAGCAGCTTCACCTCTCTGAATCCAAGCTTCTTCATTCACTAAATGGATTTGGATGATCTGGACCTTGAGTCAGCATGACAGGATAAAGCAAGCTAATGTACATAGCTTGCCCTGCACTCAGGGCAGTGCCTAGCACAGGGTTCCCCTATGTGACCACTCCTTTGTCCGCTCTGCAGAGCTTCCCTTTGCTGCCTGCCTGGCCAGGCTTCAGCCTTGGGGTGGAGATGCAGGGTGGACGTGGAGGAAGCCACAGTGAAAGCGATGGCCCAATGAAAGCGGGCCTTCTGTCAGCTTATCTGCTTTACCCCCCACCCGTCCGCTCACACCCAGGGGCCGGAGCTGTGGGTTCCCATGTAGCTAGCTGCAAGTCTGATTTGTGGGACAGATGCCATCTGACTGTCCTGCCATGCCCCTTCCCCATACAATGAAGCCATTTCCTACTTTCTGAGCTCACCAGCCCTCCCTCTCTGTCTGGGTTCCCCCCTCCCCTACTCTAATCCTACCTCCAGGGTAGCAGCTGGTCACATGCCTTGGCCATTCTTTCCTCCTACTGTGTGCCAGGCCCTAGGTGCTGTTCTGGGGATCCCGAAATGAGTCGGATGCCATCCTGCACTCCCAAAGGTAAGACACAGGCATCATCAACTAGAATACAAGGACGAGATAAATGTCCCAAAGAAAGCCGGCAAGTACCTGGGAGCTTAAGGGGGGGACAATTTGCTTTGGGTTGGAATAATCCTAGAAGGCTTCATAGAGGGAACGACATTGTGCTGGGCCCTAAAAATCTGGGATGGGAAGGAAATGGAAAGGAGATTCATTCATTCCATGCTGGCACAAAGGCACAAGCAAAGTTCTGGTGGTAGGTAGGAAGCATGGCTACAACCAGAGTGGAGGGGAGAGAAGGATTGAGCCAGGAGGACCAGGAGGACCTTGACGTGGCCCTGCTTAGGAGCATCTGCCCTGCTAGACCATGAGGTCCTTGGGCACAGGACCCTGTTGACTCACCCCTGAATCCCCACAAGCCCCTCCCCCCGGCACAGCATCCTGCACTCAGGGGCTGCTCAATAAATGAATGCCGAATGAATGAATGAATGTAAGAAACACTCCCATAGACACAGAGCTAGGTCCTGGGGGAGCCCTGAGAAAGAGACTCAAACATAGATCATTCAGGGATCAAGCAGCTCACCTCACTTAACAGCTGTGGAAACAGGCCCAAAGAGGCCATGGCCTGCCTAAAGTTGTTAGTGGCATGACAGATGTGGAGAGCTTCGCTGGGTGCCTGGCCCGTGGAAGGTGCTGAGTCGCGCCCTCCTCTTACTGCCTGGAATTCATGCAGAGTGAGGCCTAGGAGCCTGTGAGCATCACACCTCCCAGAGCAAAACCCCTGCCACCTTTGTACTCTGCACTCTGCACTCCAGGAGAGTGGAAAGCAGACCGCCCCTGGCTCTCTGGGTTAGAAGGCAGAAGCAGGCTACAGCAGGCCCATTAAAGACACTTGGGAGGACTTCGCTCTGCACCTGGCGAGGCCTCCACCATGGAGGTCTGCAGCCAGGCACAGAGTGAGGGTCTTGGGTCCAGCCTGGTGTCTGAGAGGGCCCCGCTCCCACCCCTGTGAAGCATTTTCAGGCAGTCCTAGCAGTCCTGCCCTGGTTACAGATTCATCAGCTTTGGCTCAGGGCAGGGCACAGCCGACTTCCTTGCTACGTGCCTGGCTGAGATCTTTCTTTTAGACCCTTCCAGGGGCAAGATGTTCTTTTCAGTGAAGGACCTACTCAAAGGAAAATAGAACAACTGCTTAGGTTGGTTCAGCACTTTACAGTCTACAAGACACTTTCAGACCTAGCTTGTCATTTAAGACCATGGTGACCCCCTAAGGTAGGTAGGTCAGGTGACTTCTTGAGGAATCTGAGGGAGAGAGGCAGTCATGTGGGAGTGCCTGCAGTTGTGACTTGAACCCAAGTCTCGGGCTTCTAGGCCAAATGCTCCCAGGTGCCCACGGGCTGGGGTTTGGACTAGCCTGGGAACTGCCTGGAGAGGCTTCCCAGGAAAGCACAAGGAAAACATTCCCCCAACAGGAAACAGTCCCCAGCCCCAAACAAGCCCCCTCTCCCAAGGAATCTGGACTTACCCCCTATAAAGGCCTAAATGAAGTACCCTTCCTCCAGTCTGCCCTTCCCAGGCCCTGGGGCTGCTTGCTTCTCGTTTGGCCACTGAAACTTACCTATCTCCAGCCCACTATGGAGCGGCTAATCTGATCAAATAAATCCTAGAATCAAAATCTGGATTATATATTTATTTATTTATTATATATTTATTATCTATAATTAAACTCCTCCAGGCTGGTTACTAAGAGAACTCCCTCCTCCACATCCCCACCTTTTCTCTATCCCCCCCAATCCTGGTCTGACAATTCTCCCTCCCTGTTAGGTATGTTGCTCCCCTACTCAAGAATCTGCAATGGCTCCCTAGTTCCTTCAGGAGTCAGCCCAACCTCACTGACTTGCATTCAAGGCCCACCCCCAGCTCATCCCAGCATCCCTTGTGGCCTTGACTGCCACTTCTCCCCCACTGCACACTTTAATTTCAGTCAGAGAAGCTCCAAGCTGCTCCTCAGATGCACTTCTGCCCTCCTGCCTCTTCAGAGCTGCTTCCCTCTCCTGTTTCCTCCTGCCAGATCCCCCCTGGCCTTCAAAGCCTGATCCAGGGATGTTTCCAGGAACTTCTCCCTGATCCACCCAACCCAGCATGACCTCTGCCAACCAGTAGCCCCTCTCTCTTGGCCTTGGCACTGACTGCTTTGTGTTGTAGTGGTGACTGTCAGGCAACAGCCTGGCCCAAGAAAAAGAGCCCAGCCTCGCAGATCAGGCAGGCCGGAGGCGAGATCCAGGCCCTGCCACCTGCCAGCTCTGTGATGGGTGTGCTCTTCTGAGTATACCCTGCTGGGCATGGCATGTGGACCTCTGAAAGAAGACTGCTGGAACCCAGAGATTTAGGAGGCATATTGGGTAACAGTTCTAGTCTTGGGAGGTAGTGCCCAGGGCTTGAGATTCCTCTGGGAGGCAGATCTGAACACAGGCAGGAACGCTGGACTGGGAGTCCAGAGCCTGGGCTTTAGACCACATTCTTTTTTTTTTTTTTTTAAACTATTTATTTATTTATTTGTTTATTTATTTTGTCTGCACCGGGTCCTAGTTGTGGAACACAGGATCTTCGTTGCGGCATGCAGGATCCTTTGTTGCAGCACGCATGTGGCACCTAGTTCCCCGACCAGGGATCGAACCCGGGCCCCCTGCATTAGGACTGCAGAGTCTTACCCACCAGACCACCAGGGAAGTCCCTAGACCATGTTCTTCAGTGAATATGCTGCAGTGACTATTCAGCAGGGGGCCTCCTTGGGGCCATCTGCCCTTGACCTGGGCCATGGATGACTCTTCTCTAAAACAAGGGCATTGACCAGGAGGTTGGAGGCCCCTGGGTGCCCTGCCTTCTGATTCTGTGGTGCCAATGGGGAAGGGGTGGTGCGGAGATTGGCACGGGTATTTGAGAGTCAGAGAGAACAGTCCTTTAAACCCTTCAACAAATATTTGTGGAACACTCTACCTCCAGGAGGCTGGGGCAGCTGGAACTCTCTGGAAAGCCCTTGTACTTGTGGGTGGCCATGCAGAAAGGCCCTGACTCTGAGCCTCCTCCCAGCCCTGCCCACGTGCTGCCTCAAGTCTTTTTCCAGCAAAGTGGGGAAGGAATGAAGAAATCTGCACCACCCAGGACTACACGGCCCGGACAGTGGAGGTGACAGCAGCAGAATGAAGAAGCAGTGGTGAGGGACCCACTCCTGTGCCTGCCCCTCCCCCCAACCCAGGCAGCCCAGACTTCGGCTCCTGAGTGGAGCTTGAAGCTAGAGCACCTTTCATGCCTTTGCTCCACCAGCACTTATGCAGCGGGCATGGGGCCAGGCATGGGGACACCTCAGAGGATGAGGCCAGCAGGTCCTGCCCTCCAGGAGTTCCTGGTCCACAGGGGGACAGCCAAGGCCAAAGGCCATTCGGTACAGAGTGGCCAGTGCTGCCATAGGGGGTGCAGAGGGGAGGGTCCCCGTCCAATCAGGGCACGGGATCATCCTTGGTTTCCGAGAGACCTGATAGCTGAGCAGGGTTCTGCCAGATTGGAGGGAGCAGGAGGCCTGGGGACCATTCATTCATTTATTCAAATG